CATTGAAATAAATCTCCAACTGGCATTAATTATTAATTTCCCGTCTAAAAAATCTCTAAAACACTGGCTAGTTATTTATCATCTGAATTTTTGTATACCTCCGACAACGGGGGTGGTGCTACGCTAGTAAGACTGTGCTTGGCACGTATATTTCTTGTGCGTTCTGCGTCGGCGTTTCGCTTGCATTTGCATCTGTCGAACAATCGACGACAAATAGCGCCGAATCTCCTCTCCGGTGGACAGCAAGCTGTAGCTTCGGCCGGCGCAACCCTTGATCTTCTTGAGCAACATTTCATCTCCCTGAGTCGTTTACATCTAATAAAAAGAGACACAAACATTCCTTGTGAACATCAATCGTGCATTCTTATTGTTCATTAATATTAATATATTCAATGCATTGATACAAAATCTTTATTAATTAATCCTCATCACACCCAAAAACTATAATTCAATGACAATTAGAATCAACATTTTTTAATGCAATATAAATTAATCAGTGTTACTTACCTGCATCTGTTTTTGAATTTCGACCAGCAACCGGCGGGCACGCTGTCGCTGGCCGGGGGTTGTTGTTGTTGTTGCTCGTCCCGATTCACTATCGTGGTCATCCTGGCATGGTTCCTGGTCCAGGCAAACCCCTTGGGATCCGTGCGACACGCCAGGCACCTCATTCTCGGGCAACACTCGCAGCAACGACTCAGGGATCGTTTCCAACGGGTGAAAAATCGTTCGGGTGCTCGTTCGCCGACACCGTTCGCGGCTGTCGGAACTCTGCAATCGAAGATAGGCCGCGCCCAATATTAGGATTATTAAAAACGCCGACGTAAGCGATTTATCATGATAAGGTGCCTTCAGCGTCGACTAACCCTTTGTGTCCAAAATTATGATACTATTATTTCTCATCATATGTTTATCCTATTTGTAAACTTTTTAAACCATTAAATCTAATAAACTAAAATAAAATAATGTACTCGTTATTTACCCCATTAAGTTTTAATTAACAGATAAATAATTGGTTCTTCATTTTGTATATACGTAAAATGTTTCCAAATAATGAAATTATAAAAATAATAGAATTGTGAAATTACTTCACTTGAATTTATAATGTGTTCTAGAAACTACGTGTGTTTGTTATATCTAAAGAAACGTCATCTCACATGCACCGTCATTATACCTATGTATGTATGTAATGTGTAGCTATTATACAATTAGAAAGTTTCCTTACATGAAACTAGCAAACACTGGAGTATTATTTGGTAGAGTAATATTGTTTTATATTTTACTAATGATGTTGATTCTTTTTCTTTATGATAACACATTATGTGGTTACAAGTAGTTACTTAAAAGCAAGCAAATTCTAAGTCGTATGACACGAAGTATTTTCCAGTGAATAACTGCCATATTAGTCAGCCACGTCTGACTGCGCACAAAGAGTATCAGTAAAGTTCATATTACAACTTTTAACAAAATATTGCAACTCCATATTTTTTTTAGAATTGATATCACTGATCTTTAAATATATTTTCGCAACGACTAACGTTTAGTGACATCACCAGCCTCGACGCACGGCGTTACAGGAAATTAGGTGTCTATCAAGCGGTGTTCGATCAGGTTCCACCGACTATTAATCAGCGAGCCAATCACCTTCCTCTATATTAACCCGAAATCGAACATGCCCTGGCGACGATCCAATTAAATTTTATCGATTATCAAGCTTCCTACACTCATTACGCACTAAAAAATATCACGCAGATACATGGAATCTGCATCGATTCAATTACGCGTGTACTAAATTTCCATGTGCTACCTACCGCCCACTCTTTTGCCTTTCCGGTGTCTCCCACTATCTCTGTTCGTTAAAAGACGCTCTCACAGGACAGAAGGCTTACCTGCTGCTCGTGGAACCCGATGAACTTTACTTTCGGCGACGTTTAGATCAGCGGAACGCGATTTTGCAGATCGATGGCGATTGCAGGAGTTAGCGTAACGATTCACAGTAAACGGAAGTCGGGGATAATTCTCGAAGGCACGGATCGATTCTTATGGTAAGGGAAACCGGTGATAGGTGAACTCGCGAAGAAATCTTAAGTTCTGCGCTCGGCTCGACTGGCGAACGAGCATCACGGCCTCCGCTCGTGTGTCGCACGAAGATTGCAGGTGCCGCAGTCCTCGGGGGTTGGCCGGACCACCGAGGACGAAGGGCGGTGAAGCGAAAAGGGTAGGCGACCGAGCTAGCTGACCACCGGTCACGCAAAGATTTTGCTTCCTTCGCCTAGGCTACCTGCATTAAGCCAGCCTTCCACTCGTGTCGTTATACGTACAAGGTACTAGACCAAACGAAACGAGTGACCAAACAGAGGCTCGGTGCGGCGCGGCACGGCGATTTCCTTCGGTTCACCGCGAAATCGATAACCGAGCACCGGGTGAAGTTCTTTACCTTAGCACCACCGCTTTCTTTCGAGACGCCCACGCGTCAATCTGTCCCCATCACCCGATAGAATTTTCTTTTCTTAGTCTAACGAGCTACTTTATGTTAGTTTCCTACTTTGATAAATAGTATGATCAAATACTTCAGTATTTTTTTATCACTTTATACGTTACTGGCTTTCCACTATATGTATACATTATTAAGTCATTCCCATTACAATCATACGGCCACATATTTCAAACAACAAGAGCAATTGTTATCATCGTATGCACATTTCCTCTAATTTTACTTGAAATCGTTTTTCTAATCTTTTACGGGTGACACAATAAGTATTTATTGCTTATTACTTAATGTAGGATCAGCAATAAGAAAGGCAGTTTCAGCATTCCACATGCATTACAAAAAGATTCCAAAGAATTAATGTTCTTTATATAACATGCATTAGCATGATTTTATCTTCGTCAACCATTTTATTCATTAAATGTCAGAATTAACTACTTCAATTTTATTGTGCATTTTCCTATGACGTTCAAGATTCCACTTTTAAGGAATCCCTTTGCACTCCGTATAAAACTGCAGCAATTAATTTGGAGGAAAGTTATTCTATTAAAAAGCATCTTAATTAGGAGAAGTAAAACATAAAAGGGAAAGAGATTTCGTCGACGCCGAGATTTTTGCACGTGTGGAAAGTCGTATCGCGGATCCGTAACGAACGTTTCAATGGCACGAAGTTTTTTAATTGCAATCGCTTTGGCTTTGTGAACGCTACCCTCGCGGGATGTGCGTGCGAGTGTCGCGCCGCGGCCTTTCACTCGCGAGACCCTGAGGAATCGGTTTCTCCCATGTCGTGTTCGTTTCTGAAACTGGTGAAAAAATCATACTCTCTCACAGTACATTTTACTTTTAGGATGAAACAAAATGTGCCCACAAATGCTTCCAATTTTTAAAGAAATTCTTTCTCAGCTCAATCTTTTCGTTTCTGATAATCTACACTCCAAAATGAAGTTTAGACCAGAAATCTAATTTCATATTTGTTTTATTAATAGATAATGTGGTTGAGGATCAAGCTGATTTATAAGAAGAAAGCGAAGAAAAGTAATCATATCAGAAAATAGGTAATAAGATATAGCTTCATGAAATCTTGAGATGCAATCTTCATTTGAATAGCTCTGCATTGAATATTTTGCCATAAACAAGCAGAACGATATTATATGCCGTCGTAAAATTATAAAGGATGATAACAGCGTCTCGTAACGCGTTCATGGAACTGTGATGTAAGAGAACATATCATTATGCAGCGTAGAAAATTATACGAAATATATTGTGCAATCTCAACTCGTCTGATGTGTGACCAGTTACGTGACGCCATGGAGACTATTCTGGATATCGAAACGTTTATAACAAAACTTCATTGGCATTATTTGTTTTTGGAAAATCGCGAATGATGAACGGAGTAGAACGTCTGATGAGCAAAAGATAAAGTTGTATCGTGAGGAACATGTTAATCCCGTGATTGAACGAGTGAAACGAAACCGCATTAAATACACATAAGCTCTTGCATTTGAAATTGCTTCCGAAGTTGTGCCTCAATAAAAGTTCTACCCGCAGGAAGTTAATTTGAACTTCGTCTACCTCGTTCTGCGATATCGTGAAGTTGGGAAACCAGAATTGAATTAAAATATTATTGAAAAAGTAAACTGCGATGGATAAAAATAAAAGTTCTGTTATCGATAATATTGATGATACTTATTAGCCTAATAATTATACAAATGTACAACAAATAGTGTCTATAATCTATTAAGTTTTGTTATATTAACAATCTGCAAGTAATTAGGTTTCCTTATTATGAATGAAACTAAATACTCAAATAATTATTCTTAAACAAATAATCTGTTCACTTCCTGTTATCAGAAATGAATCCAATTTTTTTAGAAAGATTATAGATCTTTGCACTTTCCATAATGACTAAACATTAGTAGCCCAAATTAGTACCCCAACTAGTCTGTATTTTGGCCAAAAATGAATATAGACAAGTACGCATCACTGTTAGCGGCATACAGCGAGCCATATTTATGTGCGTCCAAAATACAATAAGTTGGATGTAAATATATGAGATCAACCAATGTTTTAACTACCTTTGCAGAAAATCGGCACGTTGAGAAACACGTGCACAGAAAACCATTAAAAGTTGGCCCAGAAACCGGGCGCGGAAAGTTCGTACCGTGACCATAAAACACGATTTCCGTGATTATGACACCGGTGCCACCAAAATCGTGCAGCGAAAAGTTTCCACGTCGTTAACCCTTCCGAACCTTCAGCGTCGCGATTACCTCGTTACGTTACATACTTTCACTTACTACTCGCGAGCTGAAAATGTGACGTTGGAATGAACCTGGCACTTGATCACAATAATTGTCAATTCGATCTCGATTGGATTTCATAAAGACTTATATCCTCTATCACTGAATTTCTCTTACGCCCTGGGCTTTGAAAATGAATAATTTCTTTTCGTCATTCAATGAATTTTCAATTCATACATATTAATTAAATATGCATTAAACCAACGTGCAGTGATGCGAGCTATTGATTGGTTTCACATTAATTTAATCACGTGCTTGGTTTAACAGAAATTTAATTATACGTTTATCTTAACACAAATTTAATTGTTATACGCAATATACACGAATTGCAGATAAGAGATTAAGGATGCATGAGGCATGATATGTATGACGTGAAAAATTTGTTAATGTTTCCACAACTTAATTAAAAAGTAAATAGAATTCACGGTGGATGGTTATCTCTTTTTTTTAGCAATTTCGCAAAACCGAGAGATTCGCTTTCTCTCCTAATTGTTTACTGAATGAGGGCAGTCAGTTTATAGTAACAGACACGGTCTAGGTATACGAATAGACATATCAACCAATATATTTTTAGGTAAAACGCACCTGTGATGAAGAAACGTAATAAATACATCTAATCAGAAATGCGCCTTTATTAAGCAACAATTTCAAGCGAAGGAAAGGAAAAAAGAAAAATGTCTCGTACTTCTTAATCACGGGAGAACAGCGTGTGCTATGAAAAAAGGAAAGGCAGTAAAATTACACGTGCCGTGGTTACGGTACGAGGGTTAACACGAGAGCAGCGGCGGATTAACATAAACAAGGGCTAGGACCTAATCGCATTGCAAATTCCAACTAAATAATCGATGACTGCGGTTTCGCGTTTCGTCAACGCCTCGTTTCCATTCATTTTTTACGCTAGGACCATATCCTCCTATTATGAATCATATTGCAACGTTAAACAGTAAAATTAACATAAATAACTTAAACAATCCAATATATAA